AATGAATGTTTGTGTGTGTGTGTGTGTGTGTGTGTTGCAGGACACGCCTCATGCAGAGCTTTAAGGAGTCGCACTCGCACGAGTCTCTGCTGTCTCCCAGCAGCGCGGCCGAGGCGCTGGACCTCACGCTGGACGAGGACGCCGTCATCAAGCCCGTGCACTCCAGCATCCTCGGCCAGGAGTACTGCTTCGAGGTGTGTGTGTGTGTGTGTGTGTGTGTGCGGGGGACTTTGCTTTTCATTTATTACTCAAAGCTCACTTTAGGGTTCTTGGATAGCACATCAAAAACTGCTGATACAGTTCAAGCATTATTAAACACAAGTGAACACTCAGTAATAAAATAAGAACAAATCACACGCAGAGATGAACTAAATAACAGAAGTATTCAGGTGCAGAGATGAATTATCAAACCTAAATGTAAAATAACACTTTTTGTTCACTCTAGAATTAAATATGGTTTCATCTTTGTTAAAGCTGTATTTTGTTGTTTTATTGACATTAACAACACAGACGACTGCAGGAATATTAGGCGCCGTCACTTTAAGACCGAATAAACTGACACAATGACAGAATCAGTACAATTATATTTTATACAATTTATTGATTTTATTTTAAATAAATGTTTTTGTTAATTTACTTACTATTTATTACATCAAATTGTATTTATTTTTGTTCATTTTTTTTATTGAATTGATCTTTATTTAATTCAATCATGTTTTATTTTAAGAATTTTTTACAGATGACACTCAGACTTGTTCCTTGAATCAGGTCATTTGATTACGAGAATCCTTGGCTCTCACACACACACACACACACACACTAACTCTCTGTGCTCCAGGTGACGACGGCGTCCGGCACCAAGTGTTTCGCGTGTCGCTCCGCCGCCGAGAGGGACAAGTGGATCGAGAACCTGCAGCGGGCCATCAAACCCAACAAGGTACCGCAGCGCCTCACGCGGGCTTCGCTTCGGGAACCGCTTCATCCTTCTGTGTTCACACCGCAGGAACTAATGAATATAGTTCTAGGAACTCCTTTTGGAGGAACTCGTTTCCTCCTCCAGAGTCGCTCTAAGCCAGCGCTATAGGAACTAGCCGTGGCGTTAGTGTTCTCTGATTGGCCGAACACCGGCACCCGCCATTATTAAAAAGCACACAGATTATAGCTTATATATTTACCCCAGAAACTAACTCTACAAACATGGAAAACATTGATAGATGGAGCTCTTAATCTTTAAGTCATTCGGCTTTAATCTCTTGAGAGTTATTAGCGGTGCAGGAAAACGTTCCAATGGGAACTGTTAGTTTTCCATGTTCGTAGAGTTAGTTTCTGGAGCAAATATATCGGCTATAATCATTGTGCTTTTTTACAAATGGCAGGTGCTGGTGTTTGGTGTGCCTTCAGCCAATCAGAGAACACTAACGTCACTGTAGGTTTAGACTGACTCTGGAGGAGTGAATTCGTTAAACTAGAGCTAAAATCATTCCTAGTTCCTGCGTGTGAACACGCAGACAGACAGTTTCAGATGTTTCATAGCTGCTCATCGTGTGTGTGTGTGTGTGTGTGCAGGATAACAGCCGCCGTGTGGATAACGTGCTGAAGCTATGGATCATCGAGGCGCGCGACCTGCCGGCTAAGAAGCGCTACTACTGCGAGCTGTGTCTGGACGACATGCTGTACGCGCGCACCACTAGCAAACCGCGCACCGACACCGTGTTCTGGGGCGAACACTTCGAGTTCAACAACCTGCCGGCCATCCGGAGCCTGAGACTGCACCTGTACAAGGAGACCGACAAGAAGAGGCGGAAGGTGTGTGTGTGTGCTACACTGACCTCTGACCCAGAGTCTCAGATCCGTACTCATTCTACCATCTGACGCCTTTATAGGACAGATGAAGCTTTTAGAGAACAAACACTGAACACAATTATAAACACAACCATTTTTCATGAGCTGAACTCAAAGATCTCAGCTTTGTTCACAAAAGGTGTATTTCTCTGAAATATTGTTCAGATCTGTCTAAATCAGTGTTAGTGAGCACTTCTCCTGTGCCGAGATGAGGTGTGGCGTATGGAGATGATGATACACAGCAGGATTATTATACATTTATAATCAGGATTATTATAGATTATATAGTATTTATTTATTTTATTTATTTATTTATTTAGAAAAGGGACAGTGTACATTAATAAACATTCTTAAATGTAAATGTACCCAAATTAGCCCAAAGGCTAGTTTTCATTGGTAGTCCCTTTGCCAGATGTTATTAGGCTCTTAACTAGAAAAAAAAAAAGAATTAAAAATTACAGCAATACAACAGTCATAAAACTAGAAGTATACAAAAAGACAATGTATATACAGACACAATTAAACCAAGAAAAAAAAAGAAAAAAAAATATTTTAAATATTTAAATGTATGTTATAAATGATAAATAAATATATTTACAGTATATACTTGCAAATATTTCTTAAATATATACATGTATGTGTGTGTGTTTATATATGCAAAATAATTATACACAGCACACACACATATATTATCTAAACACAAACTTTTATTTTGGATGTGAATAATTGTTGCCCAACACTAGATATTTTATAATCAAAAAGCTTGTCTTATCAATAGGGGCCAATGAATTTTAAATTCTGAAGTGAAATTCTTAGAATTTTTCCAGATTCTGCGTTTTATGATATAATACAAATTTATAACCAAAAAACAATGGTATTCAAATAAATGCATTAAACTTATACAATTAAATACAATACAATTTAAATAAAATATATTAATATAAATTAATTATCAATTTATTCCTTTTTAATCAAATTAATTAAAATAATTTATTTTATTATTCACTTATTTTACTCATTTTTTTAATAATCAAATTATTTATTTAAACACATTTTTAATAATTTATTTTACTGATTTGTATTTTGAATCAAGTTTATTTGTTAGATAATATATAGATATAAATGATTTATTATTATTATTTATTTTTTTTACAGATTTTAGTTTTTCTCTAGACTGTCCCTCAGACCCCAGTCATTTCCTCACAGCCCCTATGGGCCCCGTAACCCTGTCACTCCTGAGGGCCCCGAGGCCCGGTCTGAAAGCCCTGCTGTAGATAACCAGTGTGTGTGTGTGTGTGTGTGTGTGTGTCAGGAGAAGAGTACATATCTGGGTCTGGTCAGCATCCCGATCCCCAGCCTCACGGGCCGCCAGTTCGTGGAGCAGTGGTACCCGGTGCTCCAGCCCAGCGCTCTGGCTAAAGGCTCCGGCGGCGGCAAGATCATCAACGCTTCGCTGCGACTCAAGTCTCGATACCAGAGCATGAACATCCTGCCCATGGAGCTCTACAAGGAGTTTGCAGAGTACGTGACCAACAACTACAGGACGCTGTGTGGAGTTCTGGAGCCGCTGCTGAGCGCCAAGAGCAAAGAGGAGGTGGCGTGTGCGCTGGTGCACATCCTGCAGAGCACTGGCAAGGCCAAGGTGTGTGTGTGTGTGCGTCATAAAAATCATAAAAGTGCATCTATCCATCATAAAAGTGCATCTGTCCATCATAAAAGTGCATCCATCATCATAAAAGTGCATCCATCCATCATAAAAGTGCATCTGCCCATCATAAAAGTGCATCCGTCCATCATAAAAGTGCATCCGTCCATCATAAAAAATGCATCTATCATCATAAAGTGCATCTATCCTCATAAAAGTGCATCTATCCATCATAAAAGTGCATCCGTCCATCATAAAAGTGCATCCATCCATCATAAAAGTGCATCCGTCCATCATAAAAGTGCATCCATCCATCATAAAAGTGCATCAGTCCATCATAAAAATGCATCTATCATCATAAAAGTGCATCTATCCATCATAAAAGTGCATCTATCCATCATAAAAGTGCATCCGTCCATTATAAAAGTGCATCCATCCATCACAAAAGTGCATCCGTCCATCATAAAGTGCATCCATCCATCATAAAAGTGCATCCGTCCATCATAAAAGTGCATCCATCCATCATAAAAGTGCATCAGTCCATCATAAAAATGCATCTATCATCATAAAAGTGCATCTATCCATCATAAAAGTGCATCTATCCATCATAAAAGTGCATCCGTCCATTATAAAAGTGCATCCATCCATCACAAAAGTGCATCCGTCCATCATAAAAGTGCATCTATCCATCATAAAAGTGCATCCGTCCATCATAAAAGTGCATCCATCCATCATAAAAGTGCATCCGTCCATCATAAAAATGCATCTATCATCATAAAAGTGCATCTATCCATCATAAAAGTGCATCTATCCCTCATAAAAGTGCATCCGTCCATCATAAAAATGCATCTATCATCATAAAAGTGCATCTATCCATCATAAAAGTGCATCTATCCATCATAAAAGTGCATCCGTCCATCATAAAAGTGCATCCATCCATCATAAAAGTGCATCCGTCCATCATAAAAGTGCATCTATCCATCATAAAAGTGCATCCGTCCATCATAAAAGTGCATCTATCCATCATAAAAGTGCATCCGTCCATCATAAAAGTGCATCCGTCCATCATAAAAGTGCATCTATCCATCATAAAAGTGCATCCGTCCATCATAAAAGTGCATCCGTCCATCATAAAAGTGCATCCATCCATCATAAAAGTGCATCCGTCCATCATAAAAGTGCATCCATCCATCATAAAAGTGCATCCATCCATCATAAAAGTGCATCTATCATCATAAAAGTGCATCTATAAATCTTAAAAGTTTAGTCAATGATACTGGAGTGGTCATGTGACTCACGTCAGGCATGTGTGTGTGTGTGTGTGTGTGCGGTTCAGGACTTCCTGTCAGATATGGCCATGACTGAGGTTGATCGCTTCATGGACCGAGAGCATCTGATCTTCAGAGAAAACACACTGGCAACCAAAGCCATCGAGGAGTTCCTGAAGCTCATAGCGCATCGATACCTGAAGGACACCATTGGTGAGTGAGTGTGTGTGTGTGTGTGTGAGTGA